GAGCCGGGAGCGAAGCGGGCTGTGGCGCGGCGGGGTTTTCGTGCGGGGCCGGGTCTCTGTGCTCCTATGAACAGTTCTTCGGCGCCGGCACCAGGCTCACGGTCGTCGGTAAGAATCGGACTTCTCTCCGCCCTCCCGCCCCAGCCCCTGGGGCTCTGGAGAAGGGTGGCGGCTGGAGCTGGGGCGCCGGGAGTTGTCCGTGGGTAGGGTTGGCTCTGTGAAGGGGGGATGGGAATGGGGGGGGCTCAAGGTCTGAGAACATGGGCAAAGTGTCAAGGGGACTTTGGGTCTGTTTTTCTGGGGTATTTAGGGGCAGGGTGGGCGGTGGAGAAGAGGATTATTTGAGCTCTGAGAGCTGCTAGACGGCAGAAAAAGATTGAGACTAGAAAACCTGGGCTGGGGAAAGGGCGGGAGGGGTAACTGCTCCCCCAGGGAGAGAGCTGGAGGGGCAGGAGAAAGTGGGAAGAGCTCGGATGGCTGGCCCCCTGCAGACCTGGCTCCTGGGAGGTGGAGGTGGAGGTTGCCCGGGACAGAGGAGGGGAAAGGATGACAAACAGTGGAAGAGAGAGGCCAAGATGATAGAGACAGAGAAACATGAGTCAGTGAGGAAAAGAGCCAAAACAAGCCGGGTTTGCTGATTGAATTTAGAAGTGTGGACTTGAGATTAAATTGAAAACCCTTTCTGTCTCTCCTAAGCCTCAGACCCCTGGGGTGGGGTGGGGGGTGGTAGGGGGAGGCAGCACCCAGTCCTGCCATGGCTGGTCCTAGAGGAGGGACAGTAACCTCAGCCAACTGAGGTGCATTTACCCCCAGATGGGTCCCCTCTCCCCCAGTCTGCAATCACTGTCCTCACACTAAGTACTCTACATAACAGTCTAGGTTAGTGGTTCTCAACCTTGGCTGCACATTAGAATCACCTGGGAATCTTTTTTAAAATCCTGATTTCTGGGCCTCATCCTCCAGAAATTCTGTTTCTTTGTTACTAATGTTGTGGCTTCGCCAAGGTTGAGAACCACTGGTCTAGATGGTGTGGAAGCTCATTTATTACAAACACATTGAACTGCAGATATTTTGCTGTGATGTAAGGAAAATTCCCAGGAGGATCTTGGGCTCTTAGAGCTGCAAAGGGACCCTAGATGTCACCTGGTGATGAGAATGTTGAGGCCAAAGGGGGAAAAACTCTTTACCTGGATTATGTGATAACTATGAGCACTGTTGGTAGTTAAATTCATTGGGCTGGAGCTAATGGGGCTCAGCTTAGCTGCCCAGAGGAATCGCTGGCTGCGGGTGATCAGCCAGGGGGGAGAACAGACCTTGACTTTCGAGCCAGTGAACCCAGGTCTCAATCCCTGGCTCTCTAATGATTGGTGACCTTGGGCATGTGTATCTGTGTGACCCTCAGTTCCCTCTAATATACAATATCATCAGCAAAGCCTACCACTTACTATTATTGTGAGGATCCCAAGGGAAGGCTCTTGTAGAGTGTTCAGCAAAGAGTGGATTGCTGTAATTCAGTGCTTCCCTTCCCCATCCCTACTCGCTTGATCACTGGGGAGGGCAGGAGTGCGTGAACCCAATGTCCTAGGAGGGGCAGGATTTGGCCTGTGGATAATGGAGTGAGGGCTGTGAGAGGTGGGTCAGGAACAGGCAAGCAGAGCATACACACACAGAAGCTCATTAGCACACACACCTACATACATCTGGGCAAGCTACTCACACCTTACAGGGACTCACAGACATGGAGGGATAAGACCTGCCCCCACTGTGGGGCTGTATAGACAGTGCTTCGGAGTCACCAGATCCTCCTTCTGCTCGTGCTGCTCATCGAACCATGGGGAGCCTCACACATGGCTCAGAGGACATCTTTCATTTTGACACTAAGCACTGATAGTTTGCCAGATGAGGGGTCAGAGGAGTGCATCTGTAGTTATCCTGGAGGCAGGGGCTTGGAGATGAGAGCTAAGTAACCTGGCTGTAGGCAGAAAGGCTGATGGAGCCAGTACTGCATGTTTTAGGATGTGGCCACTTCACACAGGGCAGGCTAGTGAAGACCTAGGGACTTGGTAGCTGGTAGCAGGGAGGAGGTCCAGGGCAGGGAGCTGACATGACAGGACACAGGCTGGCTCAAAGTGAAAATGTGGGGACACTTGTTAAAAAATTATTTAGAATTTCAAAATGGTGGCAGCAGCCATTAAACCATGTGTGTGGTCATTCTAAGTGTGGGGTCCTATGTGATCTGTGGATGTGACCCCATTTTGGTAGAAGTATGACATCTCTCTTAGAAGAGCATTCCTCCATCTTCTAAGCGGAACTGGATTTTCATGAGAATGAGATTTCTTAATTTTTAACAGCATTGCCCAGAAACAAACACAACGAATGGAAAACAGGATAAAATAAATGGGGAATGGCCCAGAAGGAATAAGCCCGCCAATAGAAGGCCTTCGCCTGTGGCCTGGAGAACACTGCAGACAGGTTTAGGACAAATTATATGACAACTGGGAGCAAGAAGTTGCTCCGATGCTCTCAGATGCTCATTTAGGAAGCTTGCTGGTGGGAAAGATGCAACAGGTAGAAACAAAGGGGAAGAGAAGTTTGGAGAATCACTGAGTTGGACATAAGGGGAGACTGCTCTCTGTCTGAGCTGAGGAAAACTCCGGGGTACTTGGAGGTAGTGGAATGGCTTGAATGACTTCATGAACCATAAAAAAATGCCAGGAAACCCCAAAGCTCATGAGCATGTCATGATACAAAAGGGTGTCCTCACCTCAATGCATAAAAATGTGCCATTTGTACACTGTCATCTGAAGACAACCCCACCTCCCAAATGATCCCCTTGTCCCCAAATCCCCTTTCCTCAGCCACTTAGATTCAGATATTAATAACCCAACTGAGGACTATGTGTCTGAATTGTTATATCATTTAATCTCCACACACACCCTGAACAGTCTGTGTTGTGATTCTCCCTTCAGAGCAGGAAAAATGATGCCAAAGTCCTAAAGTCATTTCTGAGATTTGGATCCTGTTATTTGTATTCCAATCCAATGCTCTATTTAAATAATTACTAAGTAATATGGTGAGAAGTAGACAGGTAGCTTTTATTGAGGGGAAGAAATCAAATAACATACTCAGACATTAGGCAGTGCCATTTATCATGCCACCTTAGGGGATGGAGAGACAGTAGACAGTGACACCCAAACAAACAGGACCTACTACATAATTTTGCTTTATGATGACCTTTCTTCTCGTCATACACACACATGCACATGCATGCACACACAGCCCCTACCAAACCTAGACAGCTCTCAGACCAGCCCTATTCCTAACTCCTCTCCCTTTCCAGACAACCTGAACAAGGTGAAACCACCCAAGGTCACTGTGTTTGAACCATCCGAAGCAGAGATCTCCCGGACACAGAAGGCCACGCTTGTGTGCCTGGCCACAGGCTTCTACCCCGACCACGTGGAGCTGAGCTGGTGGGTGAATGGGAAGGAGATCCAGAGTGGGGTCAGCACAGACCCTCAGCCCTACAAGGAGCAGCGCCACCACAATGACTCCAACTACTGTCTGAGCAGCCGGCTGAGGGTCTCTGCCACCTTCTGGCACAATCCTCGCAACCACTTCCGCTGCCAAGTCCAGTTCTTTGGGCTAGAGGAAGAAGACAAGAAGAATTGGGAGGACACCCGTCCCATACCCATCACCCAGAATGTCAGTGCTGAGGTCTGGGGCAGAGCAGGTGAGTGGAGCCTTGGAGGGTCAGGCAAGGAGGCGCCAGACCAGAGAGAAAGGGGGATCCAGGTAGGAGGCCACAAAGACCAAGTTAGACATTTTTTTTAAAAAAGGTGGGATGGGAAGAGGAGAGCACACCATGAAGAAGAACAGGCACCTCGGGCTAGTTCCTCCTCAGATCCCCAGCCAGCACAGCCTTGCAGCTGGCCGCTTACTACTGGCCTGGGTGGCTCAGCATCTGTGTGGTGTGTCCCCATCCCCTTCAGAGCTGCCACGTGTGTCTCATGAATTTCAAGGATGATGTGTCTATATTGGCACACAGGAAGGCAGTGCTAGACTCCTCTGGTCTGGGCCTGAAGTGTGCTGATTACAAAGCTGACAGTGTTTCATCTGCTCATCCACTTCCCTCCCTCTTCTTTCTTTCAGATTGTGGCTTCACCTCAAGTAAGTGACCCTCTGCTTCTTTCTCTCCTTCTCCCATGGTCTTTGGAACCAGAGGATGGAGAACCCATGGGCCCTGGGGGAGGGGCAGAGATATCTGCTTAAAAGTATGCACTTGTTCTCATTTCCTACCAACAGGTTCCTACCAGCAAGGGGTCCTGTCTGCCACCATCCTCTATGAGATCCTCCTAGGGAAGGCCACTGTGTATGCGGTGCTGGTCAGTGCCTTGGTGCTGATGGCCATGGTAAGGAGGAGGGTAGGTGGACAGGCAAGGTGGAAGTAGAGGGTGAAACATCACCCATGGGATGGGAGGGGATCTCAGAACCTGACCTCAGCCCTTTCACCTCCAGGGAATTATAACTGGACTGCCAGTCTGGGCAGAAAGTATAGGGATCATTATAGAATGCAGCATTGAAGGATGGGGAGAATCAGCCTGCCCTACCCAAAATTGGGGCCAGAGTTGGTCTCCTCTGACCCACTCTTACTGTTCATGACCCCTGGGACCCTGACAGTATCCTCTCTTCTGCAGCTCAAGAAAAAGGTTTCCTGAGACCAGTTCCAGAGGAACATCCTCAGACATTTTTAATTCAAACCCTAGATTCACCTTCACATGCTTCCAGTCTGTGTTCCCAATGAAGGATTCTCTCCTCGCCCTCGTATCTCCTACCTATATAAGTATCTGTCCCTTCTCTCTGCTGCCCTGCAGACTGAGCTCCTCAATACTGAGTCTGAGATAAAGTAAACCAATAAAAATGTTGTGCTGGACTTGGTAGTGTTTCATGAGTGTTTATGGAGTTCTGCCCTTCAAAGACCCACCTTCTGGTTGAGGACAGCATCACCTCTCAGGCATATGGAGTGACAGACTCTCCTCTCTGACCAGTGCTACTTCCTCCTGTTCATCCTGGTGGGGGGTGGACCTTATAGTCCATACACAGGCATTCTGTGCCCTAGTACATAGGGTTAGTCTGAGGGGTAAGGTGCTATGCTCTTGAAAAAGGATGAGCACAGGTAAGGACCTCAGTACAAGACAGAAGACAGGGCATACCTGTGGGATAGAAAGCCCGGTCATTTCTCAATTCCAGATTCAAATTTCATTTATTATGCATTCACATTTTATCTGAGTCTGTTAACACCTCCATCTTATCTTATTTCTGGACTTCAGCACAAGATTTATTTAGCTCTATTCTCTATGTCTAGATTAGAATCCTAAAGAAAGAACAGAGTTAAAATGCTGACACGTGAAACCTAATTTCCTAAAGGCAGGACACATGGGGTCAGGCCCTGGGGGAGGAATAGAGACAGGAAGCAGGGTTCAGTGTGGCTGAGGTGCTGTAGTCACATAGCCCTTCCAATGGGCAACTTCACCTGACGTGATGGAGACAAGGCCACCCCAAAAACAGCATACTGAGTGCACCCACTTGGGTGGACAGTTACCTTACTCAATAAACTCTACACGAAGGTTGCATTTACTGCACTAGAAGAGGGGGAAGCAATTAGAGAAAAGAAGGCAGAGATGGAGGGAGAGAGTTCATGTGTAAGTTATTTGTGGCCAAATGTCACTGGTAAGAAGGAAGTCTGAAAGCAAAGAAAGGGTGGTGAAGATGAAGTCCTTATTGATGCCCTGCCTGACTTCAGACTGGGGGCTGGGTACTGGCCCACGTGTTGTCCCAGTTTCCCTCACAACAACCCTAGAAGCAGATATTAGTCTCCCCACTTCACAGGTAAGGAAACCACAGTCCAGATATCAACTGACTGGTAAGCTGGGAAACACTGGCACATTCTGCTGAAGATTCAGGAAACATTTCCAAGTCAATACTAGGATGGTGTGATAGTCACACGGTGACACTGGAGCAGCTGCTCCCAAACTCTGATGCAGGACCCACAGCAAGAGTATGAAGAGACCTTGAGTCCTGCATGTATTTGTTTTCCAGTGCTGCTGTAACAAAGAACCACATCCTTGATGATCTAACAAAATATATTCTCTCATAGTCCTGGAGCCATAAATCCACAATCAAGGTGTCAGTAGGGCTGCACTCCCTTCAAAAATTCTAGGGGAGCCCAGCCAGTGGCCGGTGTGGCTCAGTGGTTGAGCATCGACCTATGAACCAGGAGTTCATGGTTCAATTCCTGGTCAGGGCACATGCCCAGGTTGTAGGCTCAATCCCCAGTGTGGAGCATGCAGGAGGCAGCCACTCAATGATTCTCATCATTGATGTTTCAACTCTCTCTCTATCTCCCTTTCTCACTGACATCAAATTTTATATATATATATATGTGCTAGAGAGAGAGAGAGAGAGAGAGAGAGAGAGAGAGAGAGGGAGAGTTCTAGGGGAAAATTGTTTCTTGCTTCTTCCCATTCCTAGGATTGTGGCAGCCTCATTTCAACCTTCTTTCTACCCTCATCACTTTCTTCCCTATGTCTCTGTGTCTAAGTGTCCCTCTCCTTTTTCTTACTAAGAAGGTTGCATTTACTGCACTAGAAGAGGGGGAAGCAATTAGAGAAAAGAAGGCAGAGATGGGGGGAGAGAGTTCATGTGTAAGGCAGAAGTTATTGGATTTAGGACACAAGCCTAACTTCAGAAGAATTTCATCCTGAGATCCTTAACATTTATATCTGCAAAAACCTTAGTTCCAAATTAGGTCACATTGGGTTGGCACAAATTAAGGGTAGACACTATTCACCCCACTGCACTGAGTGTCTAGGAACTGGAGGAGAGAGGGTTATCTGAATCATCTCACATAAGTCAGAGAAGGATGTGGCCCAGGGCAGGGCAGGCCTAGAAAAATCATCACATGACCAGAAGTTCCCATCAGTCACAATAGTCTCTAGGTTTCTCTAATTCCAGAGGGTATTTGTTCTTATTGTTGTTGCTTATTTATTTTTGTAATGGCTAAAAAAGTCCCAATACAAAGGAGACAGAGTTTAGGTCCTAGACCAGCACCCACAAAAGCAGCACCTTCCATTCTTTAGGCATGTATGGTGGTTCCTCTCAAGGGTGGGATAGGAGATGAGCTGCTGAAGGGACAGTCAATGCCTCAGAGAGAATAGGGCATTGCGTGGGCCAGAGGGAATGGACTGGGACATGGGTGTTGAGAGATGGGGTATTGAGGGATGAGGGCGTTGGGGATGGGGTATTGTGGGACTGTATGTTGGGGGATAGAGGTGTTGGGGAATGAGGTGTAGGGGGAATGGGGTTTTGGGGACAGATTGTTGGGGGACAGGGGCTTGTTCCAGCAGAGCTGTGAGGAGGGAGCTGAGCAAAAGTAGGGCAAACATCAAGGTGGAGGTGGGTTACCCTCACAGAAGAGAAATGGGGTCTGTGGGCTTGGTGACTGTCATCTTGGGAGTGCTAAAAGCAGAGGCATCAGCAGGTGGGAGGATGTGGGAGAAGTTGCTGGTTAGCACCTGTGGTTTGTCAAGGTGAGGAAGGAAGGAATGGCCTCTGAAGGATGAATGACTCAATGCCGGAGACATAATAGAGGTGGAGAAAGTTACAAACTTCATCTGGTTCCCATCCAACATGCCACTTGACCCAAGGAAGGCTCCTTCAAATCTTTACAGCCATGGAGAATTAATACTTGAGACCTCTCTTGAAGCTCATGTGTACAGCAAGGATGTCTTTCAGACAGCACAGCCCCCAACATTCCACGCCCAGGCACTGGGAAGTTATTTTATTCTGCATCTGCCTCTTTCTCTAGAATCTAAATGGGTCCTTCTGGACCAATTCTGGGCATGCCATCCATTCTTCCTCAGGTGAAACTGAGCGCAGATGGGTTAGATATAGAGTAGTCATCTCATTTATTGCACAAATGGGGATACTATTGAGAGGAAAATGGGATGCTGGGATAAGAGAGGTAAATCAGGACTGTCCTCATAAGTGCCCAGGACACACGGACACTCCAGTAAAAGGGACCCCCAGGGGGTTTCTGGGCCCAGAGGTATTCCTGGAATGAAAGGCATTAAAGCAATTCCTCATCTACTTGGGCCTATCAACCTATTCCAACCTCAGGCTAATCTAAGCTTCATCCGATTAAGAAAATCTATGGGCAGAATGTAGTCTAGGCACAAACTTCACAAGTGACATACAGTTCAGGAGTAGAGCTTGATTATTGATTGAAGAGACTTGAAGTCAAGCATCTCTAGAAGAATGCCCAGGGTCCCCCAGGTTATCACCATTCCATGTGGCACAACTGGACTCACCATGGTAGCACCCCAGGAGGGGAACCTCAACCCTACAGATTTTAGAAATTTATTCAGAAATTAGGAGACAGGAGGAATTCAACTGGTCATGTAATAATGGAAATATCTTGGTGTGTGTGGTGGGGGGGAGGAGGGGGTGCAGGGATTGGGATTCCTATGGGGAGAGGCTAGTCAAGTCACTGTCACTTATCCAAAAGAAGAATTTTCCTGTCAGCATCAGTATCCGCCAGAGACCTGCAACTCTTCCTACTGCACAGCTCATGGCCAGGATGCATAAGCCTGGGCAGTGGTAATGGGGTTAGAAGAGGTTGGGCCCATCCAGAGACAAAGACTTTTTCTCTATTAAGTAAGTGATTAAGGAAGAGTGGATAAGAGAAAGAAAAAAAAAGGGATTTTGATGATTATATAAAGAAGAAGTGGTACATATATACAATGGAATATGACTCAACCATAAAAAAAGAATGAAATCTTACCATTTGTGACAACATGGCAACATGGATGGATGTAGAGGGTATTCTGCTAAGAAAAATTTGTCAGACAGAGAAAGACAAATGCTATAGACTTTCACTTATATGTGGAATCAAAAAACAACAACAACAACAACCCACATGAAACAAATTAGCAAACAAAATAGAAACAAACTCACAGATACAGAGAACAAATTGGTGATCTCCAGATGGGAGGAGCATTGGAGGTGTGGGTAAAAAATGTTGAAAGGGATTAAGAAGCACAAATCACCAGTTATAAAAATAGTCATGGGGATGTAAAGTACAGCATAGGGAATATAGTAAATAATACTGTAATAACTGTATATGGTGTCAGATGGGTATGAGACTTCTCGCAGTGATCACTTCATAAGTTATATAAATGTATAATCACTGTAAACTAATATAATATTGTATGTCAATTATAATTGAAAAATAAATTTAGAAAAAAGAAGAAGGATTCTGGAACAATAGAGGTTGGGATAAGAGTAAGGGATCCTGATAGATACTAATCTCCTCATTTCCTGCCCTGAGCCATTTCCCCATCTTCCTCCTCCCATGTGCCCCAGAGAATGGCAGCCCAGTGACCTCAGCCCAAGCAGTCTATGTAACACACAACTTCGAATGTCCCCTATAGGAGAAACTTCATGAGGTCTTTTCTCTTAGGGATGGATGTGGGAATGGAGAATTGGTACTTGAGACCCCCCTTAAAGCTATATGTGTATAACAAAAACATGCTCATACCTAGAGGTATTACATTTAAGGCTGTTAAGAGATGTTGATGGAGATTTCTGGAATGGCTAAGAACCTCATGTCAGTTTTAGCATTGCCACTGACCCATGGATGAATCAGTCATCTGCAGCCCCACTGACCTCTGCTTAAACTTTCATCACCAAGTTCCCTTTACCATGTTCATGTGGAAATCACCCTATGCCATATAGACTGACAGTATAGAAGGCCACCATGCCTGGGCAATTTTAATTACAATTAATTCTCATTATTTGTGGCAAACTCTCATCCTTTCAAAAAGGTAATTTCTGGGCTCTGACAGCCCACAATGTGAGACATCATCCATCCCA